TGGAATTTAACATTTTCTATGTTTCCTCGATCTATTTTCTTATCTTGTTATTTACTGTGTTACAATTATGATGTGCTTTTTTTTATAAATAATTTATATGCTGATTAGACATAAGAGTAAACTGTACAAGCATCAGGCATACGTGTGCTTAAGTGACTTTTGAGCAAAGCCAATTAGCCAATAGAGGTCGGTCACAATTAACTAGGCATTGTTAACAACAGAATCTTTCTAATTGTTAATTAACCCATTGATTAATGCTATTTTAAAGGGTTAAGCTTATTAATTTCAATATAGATCTGAGCATGTCCATGTGCATATAAATGCAATTAAGCCATATCTACATGATTCTCTTTGTTTCTCTTTTTCACATTCTATATAACCAATAATAACGGTCATGATGGTTTGATATTTTGAATGCCATATATAGAAAAACAAAAAGATTTTGAATGCCAATAATGATCAGCTACTAGTATATATACTTATAAACTCCTCACATAAATAGAGTTCGCCTTAAGCTTTTCTCCCAGATACATTTACCGAGGTGGCCGCCGAAAGCTTCACCGGGAGCACAATGGACGTCATGCATTTCTTCCAATCCATTTGACCGTGTCGGCTCCTCCTACTCGGGACTCCAAGGCTCCTAATGTCGCCGGTAAAGTTCACCAGTTTGTCGTCTTATCTCTCTTCCCATCGTGATGGCTGAGCCGCGTCGATTAAGTTCGTTCTCTTTCGCCGATATGCTGTGTTCTGTCTGATCTTCTCTTCTCAACCGCCGATAGTGACTCCCATCCCCAAGGAGAAGGTTCGCGATGAGAGGTAAGACGCGATCCGTACCTAACTTTCCTTTATAATCTTCTCTCTTATAGCTTTCATATGGTGTTTTAGTAGTTATGGGGTCCTAGAGTAGAGTAGTGGTCAAGGAATACTCGATCCGGATAAGAGATCCGGACAGGAGCCTCAGCAAGAGTAGTGGCAGCATTCCAGGTCGAGTACAAGAAGAGTCTCGTGGACAGCAAAAATCCGCGATACGGGTAATGTAGGGTTCGTACCGCGTATCGTTGGGCAACCGGTCATGTTGCATAGTGCCTTATTATAGGAGAGAGAGCATCGGCATGGCCTCGGGGTGCCTCGATAGCGTCTCGATCCAGACAGTAGTGCCGCGTCACGATGGGACATCGGTATGGCCTAGGGGTGCCTCGATGAGCCTTGACAAAGCGTCAGTACGGGCATTGTGCCTCGCCACGATAGTGATCGTGTTGCATCATGGTAGAAGCTTCATGCCATGTCACGACAAGCTACGGACCACGCCAAGATAGGCACCTTGCCGCGACACGGTAGAAGTATCGTGTCACGTCTCGACAGAGCCACGAGAAAAGCTTAGTATAAGCATTGATGGTGTCTAGATTACAATCGACAGGCACATTGATGGATACGGGCAGCAAGGATGTATCGGCAGAGCCTCGTGCTGTGTCTTGATAAGAGATCGTGCCCCGACATGACACGCTTCAATGTGGCAAGACTGTACCGCGGATCGGTAGGATCCTGGTAAGAGACCACGGTAGCCTCAATCCGGAATGACACAAGATAAAGCTTGACCGACGGTGCAGTGACAGAGCATCCAGTTGAATCTTTATTAGATTCGGCTATGGACTCATAGGCGAAGTTAGTCAATGAGCTTGAAAAGGTCAGGGACTTCGGATACTTAAGTTTATTCACGATGGACTATGAATTAGGGTACACGTGCTGCATTTCCAGGCGTGGAATTTGACCTTAGTCTCGAGGAAACTTGACTAGCCTAGGCAGAACCAAGAGTAACTCGGTGCTTGGTGAGTTGAAGGAAGATTGTGGTTTGTATTGGCGGATCACATTTGGAGATCTGTTCGCACTCATACTGTTAGGTTTATTTAGGAATTGAGTCTTGCATTGACTCAGCTATACCCTACCTAAGGAGCTACCATGAGCCAAATGGGAAGTAAGTCTAGGAAGCTGAAAGGTAGAAAGACTAACCAACACTAAACTAAGGAAATAAAGCCAGGGTAGAGCTACCGCTCCATGGAAGTATTTTCACCCGATGGTTCGCTTGTTTGTTAGGATCCGGCAGTCTCGTAGGGATTGTTGTGAAACTGGCAGAAAAGCTATTAGGATAATCGTAATGGTTATACTATTACTATCTTAACCAACCCGACACAAGGTCGTAAGTAAGGTCTAGTACGAGAAAATTTAGAGAGGTTTCGCGAACTCGCCATAGACGGCATACGACAAAAGGAATAGAGGATAGACACGAGATCGCTTGGGCTATCCACAGCACAAGCGTGTCCTCCGTGACGGATAGTTGAAGCGGCTCCATCACGGAGGACACGCTTCTCTTTCCCACTGTCGATTCCCATCGGTCACGAGATCTCTAAAGTTTGGGCTTGGCCCATTTTGAGTTTTGGGGTTCTTAGCCCATAAGGCCCATCTGTCATGCATTCCAACCCCAGGTCACGTTCTGTTTATTACTCTGGTATGATTACTGGGTTTAAGATAACACTGACTTTATCAAGGATGAATTTTGAGCCCGATATCTTCTCTAATGTGAGAAGATTAAAGTTTTCATTCTTAAATTATGTATCTTCGGAGTTCGATATATTCTCTCAGTAGAGAAGATCAAAATTTTCAGGATTTTCAAATCATGTACGGTACCTGAAGATGCAACCAATTTCGTCTTGACGAAACTCGTAGGTATGGGTAGTTTTTCAACGTCACTGCTTAAAATAACCAAATCTATATTTTCCGGCTTAGCCGTGATTTTTATACCGACGCATCAGAAAATTTTCTTTGATTCGTTGT